AGCATTATTGCCCTCTTCCAAGTTCTTGGGAAACACCTCACTGTAGGAAGCATTATGTGTACTACACTGATGTATCTGATTGCAAAAGCACCAACATATAATTTTATTTAAAACCTTTTCAATTATAAAGCTCATACTTTTTGAGCACTTCTTTTATGCTAAATGTTGTGTAACATATTATCTCATTTAATCATCCCAACAATCATGTGAGGTAGTTATAATCATTACTTCTATTTTGCAGATATGGAATCTGAGGCTTATAGAGGTTAAATGATTAATCTAAGATGTTAGGGCTGTTAGGAGCAATTTCAACCCAGGAAATCTAAATCCAGAGCCTTGGCTTAATTACTCTGATAATTATGGAAGAAATATGTACTTACTTTAACAAATAAGAAAAAGAAAAGTATAAAGAAGAAAAACTTACCCTTGGCTCATCACCCAAAGATAATCACTCACCATTAGTATGTCTATTATAATTTTAATAATTATAATGGCATTTTATATACAATTTTATATCTCATTTTTAAACTTATAATGGAAGCATTTCCATGTAATTAAAAACTCCTTATAAATATCTTAATTGGCTACAATATTTCCTCCTGGGAAAGAGGAAAAAAACTTAGACATTATATCTTTTCCAATTTTTCTCTACTGTAAATAATTTTGAAATTAACTTCTTCACAGTTTTCCATACATTTCCATTCATCTTTTTCCATTTTCAACGTATTTCCTTAGGATAACATGGCACTTACTGCCAGTTGCCCTCTATGTCTACCTTTTCCTTCTCCCTCATTGTAATAGAATTTGTTCTTTTTAGATGGGCATTGACAACTCAGAATAAACACATACCATGCTTCCTAGCCTCCCTTGAGCTATGTGGTTATGGGACCATGTGACTAAGTTCTAGCTAATGGACTATGAAGAGAAGTGACAGGTGCAACCTCTAAGTTCTGCCCTGAAAAAGAACGAACATGCCCTCTCTTTCCTCTTGCTGCTGGCTGCAATGCAGATGTGGTAACAAGCCATAATGGACTAAAGCCATAAAAGAAAACACCCTAAGGACAATGGAGCACAAATCAGAAGGATCCTGAGTCCCTAACAACTTTCAAGAGCACAGCTGTCATACTAGGTTGGGTTATATGTGAGAGAAAAATATATTTCTATTTGTTTAAGCCAATATTATTTTTGGTCTCTTTGTATAGTTAGTGAAACCAGATGCCCAATTAATACAGATGATTTTTAAGAATTAGATTTACAGGGACAAATGGTATGAAGAGTTTTAAATATCATGACGCATACAGTATGAACAAATTACTTTATAAAAGAATATATTGATTTACCCACTTACTAGCAGTATAAAAACACTTGATTCACTAAATCCTCTCTATTGTTCAGTATTAATAACTTAAAAAATATTGACTAAGAAAATGGATTTCATTTGAGTAGGTTTCTCTATGACAGCATCATATACAGCAGGACATAGTGGGCTTTGACTGACACCCTGGAACTCTTTTCTCCACTCTGGCTGGCTCAGTGCCTCATTCCTTTAGGAACTGCCTTTCTGTATGCTACAGGGGAGAAAGAGGCAAGGCCATCACTTCATTCCTAGCCAGCTCTCTCTGTAAGTCCTAGGCTAGTTGTCTCAATTAAACCCCTGATCTCAGCTCTCAATCTGATGGGCCCTCTGGGAGAAAATGTAGTTCTCTAACATACTATATAAGCCTTCGTTTCTTCTCCACCCTCTCTGTGTCTAACCTGAATTTTCTGTATATCTCATTGCCCTCCAGGATTCTCTGGTTGTAGTTTCCATTCTATTCTATAATCAGTATCAGTAGGTCCATACTCTTTGGATGCATCCCTAGCCTCTGCAGCTAAAAAAGAATTCTGCTAGAATTGACATGGAGCAAAGCCAGTTTCTGGCAATGGGATTAATGTATTCAGGGTACATTTTAGAGCCCCGGGCTTCTTTCTGATGAAGGAACTGCTGCCCAGCTAGAGGTGATCCTAGTTTAAAAATCATGAGAGCCTCTTGTTCTTGGTCAATTAAATCCTGCAGGTATGAACTGCAGCCATCGTTCCCTTAATTAGAGACTAGGTACTAGTGAACCTAGCTTTTTAACTGCTCAGTCAGGCATTCTGGATATCTGTGAGAAAAGCCCCTTGTTGATGCTGGGAAAAAAGATAAACTTGCTTCTCTAGACTCCACTAGTACACCGTGAGAAGGTCCTGCCAATTTCCCATTAATAATAACATCTCATGAAGGATACACTAAAGGCCGTAAGAACCAGAGACATACATATTTGTAAGTAATGGACCCTAAAAAGCAGTACCACCTGGGAGTATTAAAAATACCCGACCCACTAAACAATTAATTCTGGAAATCAAGTTTTAAATTACCAAGGAAAAAATATATATATACTGAGGAGTAAACAGTGGTAATATCTGAGTGGTACAAATGTGGTGCCTTTATTTCCTCTTTTTTTCTTATCTGCATTTTCTAAATTTCTAAAATGCACATATACTGGTTGTTACAGCTCTCCTTGCTTTCTGAAAACCCACTCTTCCCTTTGGGCATACAGTCTTGTCTCTTCACCTCCCAAATTCCACAGGCCTGCAGCCTTCCCCAGCATGGCCTGTCTCCTTCTAAAATGTCCTTTCAATAAATCTTACTTTTTCTAAAAAAATAAAAAATAAAATAGAAATGCACATATACTGTGTTTTAAATAATAATAATTTATTTTTAATTTTAAAAAAGATAATGTGATCTTCAGAGAGAAAGTAGATGTTTGACGATAACAATAATCTGTACGTTTTAATGTTCTCTGCTGAGGTCCCGCAGCAGAGATCCCTCAGCAGAGAACATTAAAACGTACAGATTATTGTTATCGTCATGTTAAAGGCTATAATGAAGAAACTTGTCAAAAGGTTGTGGCAGAAGGATTTTAAAAGTTTTGATGATTAAAATATTTTGCTTGAACATATAATGGATATATAGTTGAACATCTCTGATTTTTGTAAATCAAGTTAGGCATATAACTTGGTCTTACTTTTTAGTCTTGGTATACCTTAGATATTATATCTTATCTCTTTACTTTTATCAAGATCAAGTTTTCAAGCTTCTTTCTCGATCTACTTAGTTTGGTAGTTTGAAGGTCTAGGGAAGATTTTATTTCCTCTTCCATTTCAGAGGTAATCCTCTCTCTCAGGTTAGCCATTCAGTTTATACCATAGGCTTTATTTCTAGCTACTGGAAGCTGTTTTATCTGTCTGTAATAATGAGAACATGGTTCAAAGGAAAGGGTCATGAGAGCCTTTCATTTTTGGTGAAAGGGCCAAAAATCACAATTAGGAGAATCTCAACCCTAAATGAGACATACCTGAAAAGAGAATACCATTAAATGTACATACAGGGAAGAGGGGAAAGGGGACTACTTGAGCAACACAGTGACTCTGTGATGACCACGCTTTTGGTTTAGACCAATATATACCAGGCTGTTAGTTCTTCTTAACCATTTATGCTTTGGATTGGCTTATCCTGTAGGGAAGTTTATCATTCCTACACCTGTCCTTTAAACACCTTTCTCCTAACTCCTGGGACCCCCAGATACATCTTTTGTGACCCATTCCCACAAGGCCTAAGTCTTACTAATTGTCTACAGATGTCACTTTGACAGATACTGTTAGTTACCTGACATCTATTCTTTTTCTTTTCCAAGAGAGGCCTGATTTTGTGCAAGTAGGTGGTAAAGAGAGGCTGAGTCCTTCCCACAGTGAACCATGATTGGTCAAAGCCAATTATGGTAAGTAGTCTTTTTACTCTTGATAATGGCTGGTTTAGCACAGGTACAAAACACAATGCATTGTTACCTCCATCAACATGCCAAGGATGGCACAGGAGAAATATGAAAGCATTGAGACCTTGCTGGTGTCATTGAACCACTGAATTAACAAACCTGTAACTGCCTTACATTTGAACATGGTTTTATTGGATTTTCAGTTACCTGAGGTGGAAACTATCCTGATATTCCACCAAATCCCAAAAGTTATTTTGTGAGTTTTGATAAAGTTTTTTTCAATAACCATGCAACCATTCCTTAAGTAACCTTTTAACTAAAGGCACACGCTTGGCACTAGAAAAAGAAAATATATTGAGACTCACTCAGAATTTTCTATTAAGGCACCTATCATCCTTGTTTTTTCAAACAAACACCTCTGTAAACTGAAAACTTCTTTGAAATTCTAAGGAGAGGCTGAGCTCTTTGAAGTTTAAGAAAGCAAAGTTGTATTTTGGCCAGGAGGACCCAAGAATTAGTGGCAGAACTTGGGGAAGGGGTTCAATTTTTAAATTCCAAATCCCTACACCACAGCACCCAGTGTCAACGTGGAAAATATGTGGCACTGGGGCAGGTCGAACGTGAAGTATTAGGAAGCATACAAAGTCCGGACGATGGAAATCGATGGCTCTGAGCCTGATTTCAGTTGGGCTGCAGCCGCGGGGCTCAATGCTCCAATACACTGGGTCGGAGGCTAGCAACCCAGCCTAAGCCGATCTGAACTCTGTCCACGCGGAAGACAACCCTTTACATTTCATGTACCCACAGTCAGCGCCAGAAGACACAGCGGACTACTCAGGCCAAGACTAGGTCCCGCACTCATGGCCACTCATTCACCTCACCCAGGCTGGACCCAAGTTTCGGTATCGATAATCTTTCAGGTTCTGGAGTCTCCCCGTCTTCTTAATTTCCTTCTTCCCTGAAACATTACATCCCTCCAGAGTCATCGTAACACTCTACTTCATCCGGTTGGCCGGCACAGAGCTCACCAGGGAGACCCAGGCAGCGGAACCGGAAATGCTTGCTTGGGAGACCGGAAAGAAAACTACGTCTCCCAGCATGCCCTGCGAGCCACGGGTTCGTTGGTCAACACGCGAGAAGAACTGTTTCCCGCGGTCACGGTGGCCAATCACAGGGCAGGGCTGCGTATATGTAAGCGGGTGACCGTTTCTTCCGGCTTTCGGGTCAGCTCCAGCATTGGGAAGGTTGTGTTTGTGGGATGCTTACGGTGGTGGCGGTTTGTGGTCTTGCGTCTCGATTAGGGTTCACTTCCTGCTGCTCCTGCCTGGGTAGCGGGAGGTTTTCTAAGATCATTAGTTCCTGAGCAGTAACTGGGGACCAGCCGGCCCTGAGTTAGGCCCTTTTGTGGCTAGGCCGGAGAGAGGAGTCGTTGGGGAAATGAGGGAACCTGAGGATGCATGGAGGAGCTTCACAGCCGAACTGGCCTTCTAAGGACTATTCTCGTTCTTCCCAGCTCTATCCCGAAGTCCCTTTGGCGTCCTGAAGAAGGCACTCCCGCCCCGCGAGATGGCGTCCCCGCTCCCGACAGTTGGGGCCCAGGTAAGACCCGGTCTCTTTTCGCGGTCCAAGTTCCGGTCGCCATTTCTGGCCTCTGTCCTCCTTTAGAAGAAGGTATGCCCTACGTGATGGGAAGGCCTCTGATCTTCAAATAGCCCTTTCACCAAGCTGTCTTCACTCCTAGGCCAGGCACTAAGGAAAAATGGCTTATCAAATTCTTACTTTCAGAACCACCACCTGGGAGCAGGGCCCATAGAAGTTTATAACAGAGTACTTCAAAATGTCTTCTGCTCAAATTACAGATTTCTAGACTTCATTCCACACCTGTTGATAAACACAAACAAAAATCCCAGGTGATTCTTAATCACACTGAAGTTGCGTTGATTTATAGGACTGGTAAACTTAGAGATGGAGGAATAGGCCTGGATGTGATGCTACAGTGAGCTTAGGAATGAGTGTCATATGGTAGAAGGAGAGGGACTAGCAAAGGGAAGGTTGTTGAGAGAATACTGGAATCCCTATCCCTTTCGTGATTATTCCTGGGCTGGTCAGTCTTCTGTCCCTTAGAGCATACTTAATGTTCTCCACAGTTGTTCCCTCATCTTTTCTAGTAGTCTTTTCTGGAACGTCTCACAGTTTACCATCTTGGTCCTTATACCACTGCCTCAGAAATTATGTCTATTTTTACTACCTCCTTCCTGATTCCCACCATCAGCCCTTAGAATCCATTTATACCCCATTCCCCCATCCCCAGCTCTCAGGAACCTTTTACACCAAGCCCTTTCCTCCCTTGCATCTGATGTTTCTATCTCTTCTTGGCCTTCCCAGACTGAAGAGGTTGCATTTGGGCCTCTTGTCCTGAGGCGGGCTCTCTTTGTTTCAGGGACCAATGCTCTTTGAGGATCTGGCTGTGTATTTTTCTCAAGAGGAAAGTGTGAGTCTGCACCCTGCCCTGAGGTCCCTCAGCAGAGACACCACACCGGAGTGTTTCAAGGGTATGGCCTTGATGGGTAAGGCAATTATTTTTTTTGCATTTTGGAATTTTGGTCAGTCCTATGATTAGGATTTCATGTCTCATCCATGTGTTGGTGTCGGGGAGCAGGACCTATCCCTGGGTGATTGATGTGGATGTTATAAGAACCTGCATGACAGCGCAATTTTTAAAGGATGAGATGACTTTTAAAAGATAAAAATCCCGTCTAATACTGTAGCTGTGGTTTTGCATGAGACATGGCAGTACCTGGTTATCTTCCCAAATATTTGTTACAGTCAATTCACAATTTGACTTGTTAAATCCCATAATATATAAGTATAGGTTACTATCACTTGCTGAAGATTAGAAATTGATTTACTCTCAAGAGGGTGCTATGCCTTTCTCACCTAAGGGGAACTCTATGCAGAAATGTTTCTGTAATTGAGTAGCTTTTATCCCTGACTAGGGTTGACTATTTCAGACTATCCCATAATTGATATTTTATCCCATAACTGCTTCTGCCTTCATGTTCATGTTTTCCTCTACTTTCTTGTATATATGAAGTATATTTATAATAGTGAGTAACATTCTACTAGTTTTATCATCTGTGTCATTTCTAGGTCTGTTTCTGTAGATTGATTTTGCTCCTAGATATGGATCATATTTTTCTGATTTTTTACATGCCTGGTAATTTTTGATTGGATGCTGGACATTGTGAGTTTTATGTTGTTGGATGCTGGCTTTTGTTGTATTTTTAAAAATGTTTTGGTCTTTGTCGTGGGGTGTATTTAAGTTATTTGAGATCAGTACGATCCTTTCAAGGTTTGTTTTTTGCTTTGTGAGGGTATATTCATAGCAACCTTTAGCCTAGGGCTGATTTGGCCAGCTGCTGAGGCTTTGTCTTTCTGAGGATACTGCCCAGTGCCCTGTGTATACGGTGCAGAGTGGGGAGGTGGGAGGAGTCTTTCCACTTTGGTTGGTGGGAACATGAACTATTGAACTGTTATGTGAACTCTGGAGATTGTTCTGTCTATTCTTTTTTAATGGTTCTTTCCCTGGCCTGGGGTAGTTTCTTTATGTGTACTTTCAGATTAGTATTTAGCCATGGTCTTAAGCAGACCCCATCTAGATACCTAGAACTCTCTGCTTGGACCCATGCTTCTTCTCTGATACTTTGCTGTCAAATTCTAGCCATGTTGGCATTGCTGAACTTGGTCTCCTCAAATCAACAAAACCATTGGGTACTGTCTGGATTCCTACACAATGCACTGCAGCCCAGAAACCCTTTTCAGGCAGCGAGCTAGGGCAATCACAGGATTGCTTCTTTGGAAGGAATGACCACTTTCGTATTGATATATTGGCTTTATAAATTAAGAATGTTTGGAAAAATATTAAAAAGAAGTGCTTTTTGGCAGGCCCAAGTTTTATTATCCATTCTAGCAATGAGACCGGTTATTATTTCACTGTGGTTTGTATAGCAGCTCTACCTTGATCTTTCCTTGATGAAAGGTAAAGAAATTTTGGAGAACTCTCTTGGTGACAATAAAATGATTTCTAATAACCAAAATATTTCTTGGCTAGGTAGAAAAATACTCATTCGCTCTTTTTCTTTCTTGATAAATGTGAATCCTAATCCCTATTCTAATTGTGGTTGCTGCAATGATGAAAAAAAGCTCTTGAGACCTAAATAGACTAAGTGGAAAACTCCACCTCTACACGGTATCTACCGAGATTGCCCTTAGTTCCTGTCCCACTAGACCTGACTTAGTTGTAGCTATTTTCCGATTCTTCCCCTCACAGGCTCATCTAGAACTAGATCCTTTGGAAAGTCACTTGGCTCCCAGTTTTGTAGACTATCAATTTCTGAGTTATAGGATAAAGTATCTACAATTTCTCAGTCTTATGTGAACTTAGCTTGTTCTTTCCTCAGTACCACTTCAGGATGTTTTTTATGTTTTGTTATGTTTTGTTTTTATCAACAGGAAGGGGAGGCAAGATTGAGAATAATCAGCAGCTAAATCTAAAATCTATGGGAATTGATGAGCTTCCCCTAGAAAAATACTCCACTGCTGTGCCCCTTGTCTGTTACCCAGAAAAATCCTCTGAGGATGGAGTCCTTGAAAGCAAAATATCAGGTGGAACTTCTGCTTACAAGAAAAGGTTCATAAGCCTTTTAGTTACCATTGAAAACCACACCCCCTTAATAGAACTATCTCAGTGTTTAGGAACCAAAGCACTTTCTGAAATTCTCGAATTTCCCCACGAAGCCAGAAATTCATATAAGTGTCCTGAGTGTGACCAAAGCTTCAATGATAATTCCTACCTTGTTTTGCATCAGAAAACTCATTCAGGAGAGAAAAAGCATAAATGTGATGCCCGTGGGAAGATTTTCAACCACAGAGCCAACCTGAGGTCACAGAGGAGAATCCATATCGGCAAGAGGCCTTATAAGTGTTCTGAGTGCAGTAGCAGCTTCCGCCAGCAGTCATATCTCTCTCGGCACATGAATGTCCACATTAAAGAGAAAGCCTACACATGTGGCATACGTGGGAAAGGTTTTACATGTCCCCCTGGATTGTCACAGCATCTGAAAACCCACGATGCCAAAAAAGCCTATGAATGTACCAACTCTGGTAAATATTTTAGTCAGAAAACAAATCTTGCTTTGCATGAGAAGCATGAGGTGGCTTTGCACACATCAGCTACCCAATACCAGTATATTCAGTGTACGAAATGCTTCAGGCAGCCCTCACATCTTTCCCTCCCTGAGAAGGACCACCAGGACAACTCTGAATACTGCAGCGATTGTAGGGA